GTGCAAAATTATGCATTGAATTTACTGAGGCAGTGCCACACGTTGCACTCTGCCCACTTCATCTAGCTGATGGAATCGTGTGCCCATAAAACAACTAGTGGCCAGGCTATTCGGTAACCACTATGTAGCTAAAGTACCCCGGCCATATTATAAACAACTCTGGCAGCCTAACAAAAACACCAACAGCAACAGCAACAACAACAACATTAATAGCCACAGTAGCAACAGCTCAACATCAATGGCTAATAACAGCCAACTATGTTGGACGGCCCATGCAGAGAGTGGATGTTTGTGTCTAAGTACGATGGTAATTACAAGCTTGCCTAGCTATTTAAGCTTTGGCTTTAACTCTACTTAAATTTAAGATTTAATTTTTAAAGCATATCAAATATTGAATATATCAATATAAAATTATTCACTTAATTCATTTAATATTTAAATTTAATAATAAAAATGTATCCCAACTCTGTTGATATTTCGTGCTATTTTTTTATGTATTCCAATTGATATTTGCCATCAAATATAAAATAAAAGAATGTCGGGTACACCCATCTTATCGGAATGGTATCCTGCTTGCAAAGTGTCAATTTATGTTGCATACTTGGTGGTGTGGGACTGAGTCAAAATTAAAGTTCTAAAGCAAAGCTGCGCTCTGAGTGGCAATCATAATGCAATTCATTTTGTAACGCTCCTCGGGGCATAATTTTTGGTAAACGCTAAAGATTAAGCAGCATTAGAGTCAAAAGCAAAGCAAAAAAGCAATAAAAAGTAGCCGCACACAAAGCCACTAAAGAAGCGGGAATAAAGGACTTATGTAGACTGATAAGGCAAGCGAGGAGAGAAAGTCGTGGCAAGGCCAGGCACCACGTTTGCCAAGCCAATATTTACAAGCTCATTGCGCAATGTTTGTCGTTATAAATTTGCAATTATATTTAACTGCTGGTCGCTTGTGGCGTATACGTAACATTTAGCGAATTCAACAATTCGTGAGCTTAAGCAGAGCTTGTTTAGCCAATTAGCGGACGGAAGACGCACAAATTTTGCATAACTAATAAGCTGCAACTCAAAATTTGAGCCAGGTAAGTAAACTGTTAAAAGTTGTTTCCAACTGCTATGCAATTATTCCGACTGCAGGGTACGCTACAGTTTATTCAGTTTGCGAGTTGTCTTTGGCCTCGTTGTCCTTGTTTGCTGTTGTTTCCTTAGATTTATATTGTTTGCTTTATTCAATTCGTGTTTTGGAAATCTTGCTCTTTATGTTTTATGCTGAATGTCATGAATAGGTCTAAGTTGGGTCGCTGCTTTTTCGAAATGCCCTTTTTATATGTTTTTTTCTACATAGTGTGTATCAAATTCGCCTTTATTCTTTGCCGACTTCAGCCACTTACCACTTTGCCATTCAAATTCAAATGTAAAATATCAAATGCGATGTTAAAAATTGAACATTGCTATTGAAAATCTTGAGCTAGCAACCTATTGACCATGTCAATTGCTTGGGTCTTATCGCCAATTGGCATTGGCAGCCCTTTTGCTTTCTTCTGGCTGCTGTTGCTGCTGCTGTTTGGTTCTGTTCTTGTGCCTAATGGCATTGTAAGCTGCTACATTTTGTTTACTATTTTCAAAGACATGGATTTTCAAGCTGCCTCTTTTTGCCCTTCTCAACTGAATTGTTTGGTATTAGGCATACAAATTGACATGTTATGCTAAAAATGAATTGCGTAATTTAATGGGATTGTTAGAGAGCAAACACAAGCAGAAAAGAAACAATACAAGAAAATACATCACAAAGTGCAATTCAGATACTATAAGAGCAAAATATAGCAAGTTGTTTTTGTTTTTTGCCAACATTGGTAGCATTTGGCTGTTGGTTTTTGTTATGCTTACATGTAACCTGACGCTTATGTTGATTTTCTGAGATTGCTACCAAAGTCCAGGCATTTCGGCATGTATGTGCATGTTATGGTGTGTGTGTATGTGTGCTTGCTGGTGTGAGTTGCCACTTTGCTGCACTAAATTGCATTTAATTTTCAGATATGCGTTGTGTGTACAGGTTGCTCATTTTTTTGCCTTTTGTTTGGTTGTTGCTCTTGCTGCTTTCTGAATTGTACATGGCCTTCACCCAAATAAACACGTAGCCGGCTTATGTGTGTGCAAGTGTTGGGGTTCCTAAAATTTATGTGTAAGAACAGTGCACTATGCTCACACCCATTCAAATATACTGGTCCCTTGCTTAGCGCGACAAACAATGCAAGAATTTTGCATATTTGGCGCCGCTTTAAAATACCAAAAAAACAAAACGCTGAAAAACATTTGAAATTCGTATGAATTTATATACGCTTGCAGTTTCCGAAAAAAACTAGAATGAAATGTCTGCATAATGATGCACTAAGCATAATATTACTATAATGCTAAAAACAGGCGACAGGCAGTTAAACTTTAAGGATTGTGAAATATTCCGAGTTGTCTTTAAGCGAATAACAATTAAACAACCGTATATTATCCTATATATTAGCTCAAGCGACCTAAGAATGTGAATGAAATGGCTTCATTTTTTTGTATTTTTCATGCAATGCCAGTAAAAAAAATGTGAACATGAAAAATATGTAAATATTTTTTACTACAATCAGGAAATGTGTGATGTTGTTTTTTCGATGAGTGATTAGATTAGAAATTAATCGCTTAATTAATTTTAATTGAGTTGCAAGAAAATGTAGCTGAAACTTAAAGCAATACGGGGCTAGAACAAACTCCATTCGAAATATGTTGGATTTCGGAGTTGCTTAGCTCACTTGACACGTTTCTTTGCATGCAGGACACGAACAAGTTTTCCACGGCGTCGCTTAAAAACTTTTCAAACGACTTGCAAAGAGGATTGCGCGAACTAAGCTCATTGTGAGAGACGGTGCGATTTTGGGCCGTGCTGTGGGTGTTTGGGATGTGGCCATTTGGAAGCGGTTACTTCGACGAGATTTGCATAAAATTAAGGCTTATTTTAACAGGATTCGGTGAATTGCGTGAAATATTAAACTTTATGTGCATATTGATGGGCCAGCGACAGCTTCTGCTCCGACTCAAACGTAAAGCTCAATCCTTTGACAAGGGTATCCAGCAATCCGCAATGTGTTTGCATCAATTTTGTTAGGCAAATATTAGCGCAGGCCGGTTTAATTTATGGCGACCTGTCTAAACAATAAATCAGCCTGAAACAACGCTCTTAGGAACAATGCCATTGGATTTGATTATTCAATTGCAAATTTCAGACAGCGGCAATTTCAAGAATATGTGAAGATGCATTGCATAGATATCAAAAGGGCGCACATTGCTCGGCAGATTGTGGGTCTAGCTGCATCCAATGGTCAGATAATGACATTATAAATGCACATCGCTTACATAATTGAGCGCCTGATAACAATGGCCGCACTTTGATGTGCAATGCGGTGTCGGAAAATGTATGTGCCAAGAGCAAATAAAAGCGCAGAGAAGCGTAAAACCTACGAGGCAGAAAAGAAAGCAAGTTTGTTTTTTTCTATTAAAAATGAATTATATACAAAATACATAAAATTGTATTGGGGCCACGTAGTAGGCCATAAATTTGCCAACCAAACTGACTTTATGGCACAATCTCTTTAACTAGGGACTAGGGCTGTGCCAGACAGTGGACTGGGTAACAAGAATCGGCAACAGGTGCAGCGCGTGCCCCGAGTGCTGGCTTCAAACATTACTGTTTCCAGCTATGGTTCCGGTTTCCGGGGGGCATTCACTGTCCAGAGGCTGGCCCTTGTCTGTTGTTTAATGCATGCTTCTTCACATAACTCGCCCCAAACGATAAATCACATAAAAATGTTGTGCCCTATACTTTTCTGCTGTTCTGCTTTTTGCATTAAAATTTACAACCTACTAAACAAGAAACCACACCAAATATTTGACGGGTGCACACGCAAACATCCCTGTATGAATAATTACGCATATTTTTAGCATTTATCTTCAGTAGAGCAACTGCGAAACTTTAAATCAGCTTTTGAGGGGGATAGCAATGGATGTAGTAGAGACAAATCTTTCACGAGCAGCATTGCCTAATTAAGCCGGCTTAAGTAAAACCAATTACACAAATCAGCCGAGCATCAGTTGGCAGACAATTACTGTATTCGCAGACAGGCTAGCTGTGTTTTGCCTGCCTTTCCTTTAATCATTTGTGAGATATTGAGTTATTAGCGTGGCAGCCTAGCGGAAGGATTTTGTAGGCTTGTCGTTGCCTTCATGAAGTGCCATTTAATGTTGCCTAATGCGAACCTCATTGACAGTCGCGATGTCTTCGAAACTTTGAGGGGGGCTGGTGTCGAAGACGCTTGTGGTGTTGGCAGCTCAGGCACTCAAGCGTTAAAAGCGACAGCAACCACAACAACAAAAACAACGCCGACAAAGATGGTGACAGCACTTTCGACTGAGACATGGAAATAAAAATTATCCTTGAAAGCAGACTTGGTTTTTCTAAGTGTTTGCGGCTAATTTGGGGGCAGAGCTATGAACATGTAAACAGCTTGTGTGTTTGAGTTTATATTGAAAGCACAATACCGCATTAGCTTGAAGACAGCAAATGAAAAAATATCAATTTATATCAATAGAAATGAATGTCTACACTTGTATAAATTAGTTATTCATTTATTCATTTATCTGTTTCGTCTAGCTTGTGGGGTATTGTAAAAGCAAAATACTGATACAATGTCTTCGTATATTGCCTAGGGTATCTTCAAGCCACCCCTTTCGAATATAACTTTCTTGCATGCGTAAAACTTCCATTAAAATAATTGCTGGTTTTACTATTTAACAGTTGAGTACTTGCTTAATCACTAATTTAAAACACAATTGTAATCCAACTGACAACTGCTTTTAAATCGCAAACCAAATGATTATTGACTGACTCAGTTAATTCTGGCTTAGAGGCTCGCCTATAAAAAGCCAGCTAGAAGTTTTCAACTAGTTAGTTTGTGTATCAAAATGAATGTGTTGCGTCTATTATCGCTAATGCTATGTGCTCTGCTTGCAGTCACTCAAGAGGCGCCACCAACAGGACCCAAAAATCCGTATTGCAACCACCAGCTCTGTCCAAAGGGCAAGCGACATGTGGCATGTGAAAAACCACCAATCGTGAGTGATATATTCAAAGAAGCTCTCAAAAGCTAAATATTCGTATCTAATCCAGGATATACAAAGAACCTGCAACATACAGCAATCGCTGCTCGTGAATATGACTGCCTACGCTGAGAATATTCTCAAGGCACACAACGAGAATCGTCAACGCTTGGCTAATGGTAAGAATATGACGCTGCCAAGAGCTGCCCGCTTGGTTGTGATGCAGTGGAGCGAGGAACTTGCCACGCTGGCCAGTTACAATGTGCGCATGTGTCATCCCAAGCACGATGATTGCCACAACACGGCCAACTTTAAAAACTCTGGTCAAAATATTATTGTAAGTATGAATTTCAGGTAATCAACCTGACTCCTGGATCACCAATGTGATTTCTTAATAGATGTTCAATATGACGCGTCTGGTGGAGCCTCTGCTGTTGGAGAAGATGTATCCGCAGCTAATCACCATTGGCACACACACTTGGTGGTCCGAGCATACCAATACCAGCAGCATGATGACCGCAGCGGATGTTGAGCACACCCCATGCTCAAAGAAGCCCAACCACCCTCAGTAAGTGGACAGGTGTTGTGCGGCAGCAAATAGTTTCTCTACGAATACCTTCAATTCACACTAAACTTAAATTTCTCCAACAGACCCTTTCGCCATTTTGCTGTAATGGCTGTGGAGAATAACACACATGTCGGCTGTGCCGGACTCCGTTATGTGGCCAAAGACATCACCTATTTCAAACTGACCTGCAACTATGCAAAGAACTTTGAGTGCGGTCGGCCTATCTATCATTTCCGTGCGGTGGGCTGCCTTACTGGGTTCAACACGCAGCATAGAGCGCTCTGCTCGAAAAAGGAAATATTCGCCTAAATACGTAGCAATCCGAATAGTCACATACCCAAACATTTGGATATCCCCAACAAGCCACAAATAAAACACAATGTCCATCCGATTGGTGTCTAAAATTGTAAAATTAACGCTATGCATATTTATCTCATTTCAATGGCACTTTCTATAGCGCGTGCCATTCCTTTCAGTCACAACCAATAGATTCCGCTCCACAAAAGCCATTGCGGCGCTCTCTATTTCTGCAAAATGAAATCATTACGCATGCAAAATTCAAATAGCGCAGCATCAAAATGGAATTTCTGCCAATTTCCTGTGCAGTGCGATAAACCAGAATGGTGACTATTGGGGTTATACCTTGGGATATGGGTGCTGGTCTTTGGTATGCAGGTCAGGATGCGGGTCATTTGATCTTTGTATGGCAAAGCAATTACCTGGACACAAGCGTTCAGCCAGTGAATCCGATGCGCAGAGGAAGAGAAAATTCCGATCGCATAATTGAATGAAATCCCTATTTTTTAACGGAATAAGCATAATTCTTATTATTGAAAATAATATGTATGCTGAGGCAAAACCTATAACATTGAGGACATTTACGATTTGCTGCAAATACACATTTCGTACAAGCATAAACCAACAACTACAACGTTTTTTGTATTATTTGGACTCATTACAGCACACTAAATTTGTTGATTATAACAAGTATTTTTGGTTAACCAGCTAGCAATTTTAGCGTCATGGAAACATCCCCAGGGTTTAATGTACAGAAGCTTAACTATTTCACTGTTGACAAGCACACAACAAATTCGAAGTGTGTTGCTCGCCAAACACATGTTGGCTGACTCACTGAGCGGAAATGGGGATTGCACCCCAGGCAAAGCTTGAAGTGAGGTCAAACCGTATGCTTTTTAAATATATATAAGCAGAGTAAGAGAAGGGAGTAATTTATAAGTAATTTAATTAATATAGAGTCATAGTATTATGAGCTTATTTCTACTGTACAATTGACAGCAAAATTCTCACCTTTGGCCGTTGTCACTCTAGAGCTTCTCAGTTTTTTCTTTTTTCTTAGAGCCAGCGACTTGATTAATAAAACTGTTAAGGGAAATCCGATTAGCACTTGAATCACACTTCCATTTCATTATTTTATGCGACTTCATTTGATTGGAGTGCATGTGAAATGTGCTTCAGTAAAGTGTAAGATTAACTCAAAAGCGCACTAAAAACAAAATGCGAAACTGTTCCGAGACTTGACTTTTAAATCGCCTTTTACTGAGCCAGTGCAAAGCTCAGTCGGATTGCATTCAACTTGCCATCATCAATACTTTCTCAAACGCTCATTCTCTCTTCTCTCTCTCTCTCTCTCACTCTCTCTCTCTCTCTCTCTCTCTCTCTCTCTCTCTCTCTCTCTCTCCACACACATATATACACCATATTCATGCTTGGCTGTTGGCTTGGCCAACACCTGGAAAAGCTAAAAATCGCTACATCCGCTGCACATATATTTGAAGTGCCGCTCATTTTTAAGGCTTTTTCAGCCAAAGAAATTGTAGTTATGAATAATTATATGAAAGGTATGACGGGGAGATGCTCTACATCTAGATCGTATGCAGCACATATATATAATTTTGATACAGGAAATAGTTTCATCAATAATCAAACTATTTGTTTTTGCCTCGATATTATTGTAAACTTATGTGTCATTTTACCAATTTAAATATTTGTACATTCCGCTGGTATTCCCTCTTACGATGAAAACAGGGTATGAAAACTAAATGGTGTATAAACATAAATTTCTAGCTGCTGTTTTGTGTGGATAGTTTTCGTTGGTTGATTTTTTTGTATTTTGTGTTGTGCTGAACCACAGTTTGTTGTACTTTGATTTAGGTGAAATTTGTTGGACTTGTTTTGCTTAAGCGAATCAAGCAAAGGCTTTTAGTTTGCTTAGCTGCAAATAGTTCAACAATTTATCATAATTTATTATCAACTGAAAATACTGCTCATTCGCAGAGCTCCCCCAATTGACTCTCACACACATTCAAACACACATAAATATCTATTAAAGCTGAGCAGTCAGATGCAAGTGAAGATTTACGAGTCGTGTAGGGCAGCATTTGATAATGGTTGCATTAGCGTGAAATGCTTCAGATTGCACTTTTGTCTACCCTCAACCGGGGGTGGTGTGAACTGTGGTGTGGTAGAGAACATCTGTAAACCGTAGGCCACAAGGCTCTGCTTCTTCCAGCTGGCTGCTCTCTTACATCCATCCATCCAGACATTCAGGCAACGTCATTATCAGTGTAGAGCAGCACGTCACGATTATATATGTCTGCTGCTCGCATGCCTGTCCAAAGCAATTGGCGGTTTCCTTTTGCATTTGGCCTTTGACCCATTATGTATACGCAACGCGTAATACGTAAAATTACCGCTGAAGCGAGCAAATGCTTTTTGCCAGCCACTTGGTCGTATTTGGTTTTTATGGTCTGTAGCCAGAGGTATCGGGGAGTATATTAAATTTAATGGAACGCACTCCTTCGAGTCCATACAACATTTATTTACCTGATTAACGCTGAAGCCGAAAACCATTGCAAATAATGTGCATTTTGGGGTGTATCAATAACTAAATGAAGACCATAATTGGGCTGGTAACTGAAGAAATAACATAATTTAATGATACATTAATGGTATCGTATGATATTTTCACGCAAGTGAGTTAATCCTTGTTAGAAGAGCATTCCAAAGTCTGGGAAACAGATGCTTTTTTTACGATCAACTTCATGATGGCACAAGCTTTACGTTTATTAGCATACTTCTAGGCGCATTGGCTGCTACTCAAGGTGCGTTTAATGGCCCACACGGACACCTAGTTGTCGACAGCTCTTTACGACTTCATTAGAAAGGCACTGACAAGAGTCTGGGCCGCTTTCCTTCCTTTTTCGTTCACTTGACTTATTTTTTTATGGGAGCATTGAAAGGCAATTGATTTGATATAAAATTCCGTTCGACCAAACAATGGGACACAACTAAAGGAGCCCTCAGCTAAAATCTAATGAAATTTATGCAGCCGCTGCAATGCGGCTGCACATGAATAACAACTACAGGACATGTACACCTAGCACATAAGCACACAAACACACACACAAACGCACACACAGTGCAGTACATGGCGGTAACTTTTACCTGTCGTTGGCCCCAATTTACAATACGGCGCTTTTTGTTTGTCTATATGTGTGAGTTTCTGTGTGTGTTTGCTGCTGACCTACTTCAGGGGCACAGGAGGCGGCGTGCTTTCACTTTGGCTATGGAACTGGGTTTCGTCTATAGCTTCGAACATTTTATGAACACTTTGGGCCGCCTTTGTCTTGGCTCTTAGTTAGAACTGCATTGATGGCCAGCTGGACTCAGTCCGCAACCGCGTTCGTGTCTCCCCATGGCCGGCATAGTCCTTGGCGAGTGCGCGCGCATGTGGAAGTAACAGTTTAACGCTTAAACATGCCCAAGCTGCGCTCAACTGAAGTGTACATTACACACACACGCAAGCACATATGCCAGTTCTTAAATATATATTATTATATATATGTGTGTGTATTGTTTTCAGTTTTGCAAACTAAATTTTGTGCATATTTCTTAGCTCACTTGTAAAGTTTTTTAGGAAAACAAATACAATTTGTGCCACATCTAACTGGTTTAAAGAAAAATAGAAAAGCGAAAAACATCTGTTTAAAATTCTGAGAGCAAACTGCTAAGGCTGAAAGATGTAAGAGGCTGTGGTATTGGTCTTAGGTGTCAGTGTCTTGCCAACAGGAAGGAAGCTTTTCAAATGCCAAATGATAAATGCATTTTTAATGGAGCGTTGGTGAAGAGAGCTGAGAGGCGCCAAAGGCAGACAGCGTCTGAGTTTAACAAACAACTTCCTTGGCTTTACTGCTGAAAGCCTGGCTAAATGGCAGGATGCGCAAACGAGCGCCTCTAAGCGAATGGGTACCCCAAAGATGAGGGTTGGCCAGTTGAGAGCCGTGTGTTGCGAGTCCATTGTCTTCGTCCTAAAGGCATAACAGATGATTAAGCTAATGTTTCCCTTTTTTCATCGCTAATCGGTTAACTTTAAACTCTGTACATTTGCGCTTAATTTTCCAAGCATTTATATGTCAGTTTCGAAATCAATTGCCTCATTTTATGCAAAACAAATAAGCGACACGTGTTTGATAGATTGCCTGGTGCTTCCATCCAGGAATTGACGCAATTATTTTAGCTTTCATTTGGGCAATCAGCATTTAATGCAAGCTTGCAATTGTTGCCCATTTTATTTTGGGCTTCTACGGCCTTTTGTTTTCAGGCAACGTTTCAATTTAATCAATATTCCAAACACAAACGACGGTCACAAACATTTCATATAGCCAACCCTCCCAAACTTCGAGTCCAAAATTGTGCCTGAACAAAAACTAAATGCCACACAAACACATTCACACACTTCCACACATATAAAACCAAATTTAGATAGAGAGGAAGGATAAGGATGAAGCGAGCTAGGGGCTGGAACGTGCGCTCTTAAAAGCGTGCCACGAAAATTGAAAACTATAGTATATGCTAGTGAAACAAAAAATGCCCATCTGACCATTTTAATTTAGTGAGTTCTTATGATGCTAAAATATACATATACATATACATATATATATATATGTAAATATCGTTATAGATGAATGTATTTAATTTACAAAAATCACAACAACAAAATAGTAAAACCAGTTGCAAAGGCAGCTTTGCTGTAAATTTGAGATATTGAAATGAAAAATTATTAGTCCGTGGTTACAGTTCACCAAATTGACGTGTGTGCGTGTGTGTGCATATATGTTTGCTCCATCTAGGTGTTATATGAGTGCATTAGATAGTTATTGATATGGCATGGCAACCCTGCTAACCGTTGGAAACAGTAATCAATTCATATTGTAAGCGAGCTTGCCGTTGTGGTTCTAAATTTATGAGCAGCTGGCAGCCAGACTTAATAGAAAACGTTGCCGTACAAGAGCAACAGAGGACCATCATTAGCTTGAAGCGATTTACGGAAAATGAGCAAGAGGCAGGCAAAGAATGTGCGAGAGCTGTATGAACGATGGATTGGATTATGCCTGGTTCAGAGCTAAATGATAGCTGTAAGGCTAAAATATGCTTGGGAAATTGCATTGAAATTACTCGATGGTGAGATGATTACAATATCAAAGCATATTAAGCTTTATGGCTGTATTATATATCAAATGTATAATCAAATTCTTAATTTTAAAACAAGCTGTGCTTTGAAACTATAGTTTAGAAAAAACATTACTTTGTATCCCAAATATTTATATTTTACTCTTCTCATAAATAAGAATTTGTTGAGAATTTAAATAACCCAAATCGTCCCTTTTTCCATCATTCAGTACTTCACTTTATCAATTCTCTATTGGTTTTCATTTTTGTGCTTCTTATTTGCATTCCAGCTCATCTTTCCTTTTGTAAAGATGATGTTCATTTATCTAGCAATATACACAAAATGGAGATAAAATTCAAATTAA